ATCATGCTCAAGGGTTTAGGGTTTAGGAATCCAAACTATGGGGGGGGGGGGGTATAAATAAAAATACTGTACTATATCTACCATAGCTACATCTGGGCCCAAAGGAAAAAGTTATCATTTGCGCACCGATGTCCATGATGCGACGAGTTCTTTGGGTACAATTCTTACCAAAACTTCACTTTCAGGCGGCAAACAGACTTTTCCCAGTTTCTGACTTATTGGCCCAAGACAGTATAAACCCGTTGATCAGCCACACGAGGACTTGTGAACCTCTACACCTCAAATGGCTGCCAGCTCAGCAAGCTAGCTTCTTACCCTCTAAAGCCCTACACCCTGAAGCCCTACGCCCTAAGCCTCCAGAAGCCTACACCCTGATTACTAAGCCATTCCGACCTAGACTAGACCAGAAACCCTAAACCCTTACATCTAGCACAATTGTAGTATGCAAAGGAACACTTAAAGAAGCCCTTGAAGCAACCCCTCAACATTGAACCCAAAGCCAAAGGGTCCAAGGTACCTGTATAAGCCTGCAAAGTAGAATGTAGGATTTGTATATTAGGAATTACTATTATGATTATAACAGTACATAGGACCCTTTGGGAAAGCCATGACAATCTGGGCGTGCGACGCGGGTAAGATCCTCGGACACACGCGCGCGGCCGTAGCCGGGCCTCGGAGCTCTACTTGGTGGATCTTGGAACTTAGTAACCAGGGTTCCTTAAAGGGCTCCTTTAAGGGCCCCTTTAAAGCGATCTATAGGGGTTCTATAAGAGGGGTGGTAAGGTTTCTTGATCATGGGACTTGGCAACCAGGGTTTCTTAAAGGGCTCCTTAACAAGGGCTCCTTTCAAGCCATCTATAGGGGCTCCATAAGAGGGGTGGTAGGGTTTCTTGATCATAAGGCTTAGTAACTAGGGTTCCTTTCCTTAAAGGGCTCCTTTAAAGGGATCTATACTGGTTCTATAAGGGGGATGGGACTTCGTAACTAGGGCCAACTAGGGCTACTACTAGGGTAACTATGCTTAAAAATGTTCTTACACTGATCCTTTAAGTCCCGGCAAAAGTCTAAAGGTTTTTGGGTTTGAGGCGCTTTGGAGTTCAGGGGTTGGGGTTAAGGTGGTTTGAGGTTTAGCATTCTAGGGCGACAAGTGTCCTCGACATTGAAATCTACGAATATTTGCTTTTGAAGACGTGGGGTTTTGGCTGTTGGAGATTCCCGAACTGAGGCTAAGCCCAATCCTTGCAGGAACTGTGGCTTCTCTAGGGTCGGAAGTTTAGAGCTTCGGGTTTAGGGCTTATAGTGCCTTATAAGATATCAGAGGCCAAGACCTGGGGCTTAAAGGCTTTAGGATATCAGAGGCCAAATCTGCACACTAACCCACTAAACCCTAAACCCCAAACCCTAAAACCCTAAACCGTCCAAATCTGCGCACTTTCTCTGCACAATGTGCCTGCTCGCACTGTTTGTTCAGTGCATCAGACTTGCCCTCGCTGGGCTCACTGCTCTAGGCCTGCCTGGACGCACCCTAGGGGTCTTAGGCATTAGGGGGATAGGATGGTTTAGGGTCTTAGGGTTAGGAGTTTAGAGGTTTTGGGGTTAAGGAGTTTAGAGGTTTAGGGGTTGAGGGTTTAGGGGTTTGGGATGAGGTTTTAGGGAAGCATTATCACGTCTCCACAAGCGATGCAACGAACCACAGGTCTAGGCTTATACCTTAACCCTGAATAACCTACCTTTTAGGGCTCCTTCTTATGATTTGTGTATATAAGTCAGTAAAAATGTAGCTTCTTCGGGGTTAAGGTAGACCCTAAACACTAAGCCCCTACCGCCTGTGACCCTAGGCCCCAGAAACCCTATAGGGTCTTCCAAGACCCCACGACTACCCTCTAACGTACCCCAAAGACCCACCATTAAGGGCCACAAGGACTGCATTTGTGCCATACCAATCATCCAGGCTACAGGTGAGCATGGTAAGAGCCGATTCACCCAAAGGCTCCGTGTACCTTTGTAAAGGGAACTCCAGAAAGTTGGACTATGGTTTCAGGGTAGGATATCCTATAATTTCCCATAAAGGGTTTAGGATAGTCATATTCCAACTTTCTGGCTTTTACTTTATAGTAGATACTGCCCATAGGCCTGCAATAAAAGGCCCTTCGGGGGTCCAGGTTCGACTCAGGGTTTAGGATGAGCCTGAGATCTTCACGATATTTGGGGCAAGCCTCAGAACATCTCCAAGAAAACAACAAGGATATAGGGTTGGTGTTTAGGGTTTGGGCTTTAGGTTTAGGATTGGTGTTGAGGTGTTGAGGTTTCAGGTCTAGAGTCTAGAGCGTTCGGGTTTAGGGTTCACTTTAGGGTATCCGTCTTTCAGCACACCTGAATGAAGCAAGCACACATGTCGGGCACCGTCACGGTGCCTCGAGTGACTTTCTGGGAGTTCCCACCTAAGAAGCTCGTAACAGTACGACCTTGAGTTTTAGTTCTCAGGTATTGAAATTTAGGCTTACGCGCAAAACACAAGATTTTCAGCGAAACCGAGTCTTTCAGAGACCACATATACTACATATACCTCCAGCAGGTTTCATGGTTTGCAACTAACTACATCAGTAACATTTCAGGTTTGCAATTCTGACAGGTGAGCATCGACAGGTACAAAGGTATGGTATGGAGACATGTACTCATGCCTGTGTATTTGCCACATCTATCACGAACTGACGCTTGGAACCAGGTTGCCGTTGAGAAGGGAGTTTGTTGAAAGATTTCGCATGCTGCGTTTACATGTCTTTCTGCTGGGTCTATTGCTACGAGTCCAAGAAGACTCATCACCCCACGGCCTCTGCGGACATGTCGGTATAAAGACGAGGATTTAAAGCCGAGTCAAAACATAAGATCTAAAACATAATACATACATAAGCACACCTGTATATGCAGTTATGAATATGGACATATGTACTTTTGTACTTCTTTTTATGCATGTACACATACATATACATGCACATGTATGTATATATATATATACACATACATACGCATAACCTATGAAAAGTTCTCTCTCACACCCACGTGCATATGTGTCTATAACCCCAAGCAGGAAAGCGCAAGGGGGTCGAAATCCTGAACTCCGATGTCGTTTAGACTACTTGACACTATGTAGGGCCCATTGGAAGACGATTTCGGAGAATATTAGTCGGGCATACATGGGGCTGAATGGGGGCTAATGAAACCAAATAACCAAGCCTCTGGAATAGCTTGTATTGCACGGGGATCGTCCTTTCTGTTTGGATTTAAGGTTAAGGGTATCTTACACCTCACGTAATCAGTATCCTGCTGTGTGCGTTTTCGGGTTACCCCTAAACCCGAAAGCCCTGAAGCCTACATGCCAAACTGCAAGCCCTGGACCCTCAAACCCTATACCCTAACCCTGAACTGAACCGCAAGCCGTGACCCCCATCAGCTCGCTGTCTGCAGAAACTCCCCTTTGGAGCAGCCGGATCTCTGCATCACCGCTTGGCTCTACGTCTGGGGTGACTACCTACACTCGGAGCACCGAGGATTGAGGAAGCTTCTGTGCATACCTTAAACTACCATTGCCTACTTCTGTGTTCGTCCTGACATGAACGCTAATATAGGCTTGATCGGAACCTTAACAAAAAAGTTGGTTTTGGTTGCTTAAGTGTTAATTAAAGTAAAGCTTAACTTAAAGTTAGGGTTTAAGGTTCAGGGCAAAGGGTTAGTGTTCAGGGTTAAGGGCACACGCTGAAGGGTTAAAGGTTTGCGGCTTACGGTTTAGGGTTCAGGGTTATAAGGGTTTATGGCTTTTGGCTTGTGTTTAGGAAGCAGGAAGACTCTCATCGGCAGAACTTTGTACCAAGCAAGCATCCCCGGTCATCCGGATATTCTTCTGGAACCTACTCGGTCGTAGGGTCCGAAGAACATGAAAGGAGCATTTTCTATGTACCATGGAGACAGCAGGCTGTCCAGAGACTCCACAACCACCTTAATGAAGGAATATATATATATATATATATATATATACACACCTTATATAAATCAACGTAGGCTCCCTAACATGATTTAACGGTGTATCCTCCCTAAACCCCTCATAGGGAGGATACACCCGAAACCCAAAACCCTGTTCCTTAATTGAGGGGTTTTGGAGTATCTGACTGAGCTTCACGAACACTAGCAGCCCAACACTCCACAAACCCCAGTCAGTTTTGCTGAGTACATCAGCCCCAGAAGTGTAAACCTTCAGTTCTGTAGGGGATAATAGTATCCCAAAAAATGTAAAGTGCAGTCATTCAGCTTATATTATCAGGAGTACCTAGGCCTGGAAACGTTGTACCTTTATGCTTGCTTACCTTAGTTCATTGTTGTAGGATCCTAACGATAACAACAGATTCAACAGATTATCTAAACACTGTACTACAGTCTAGGCCCGGGGGGAACCGATCGTCCTGCCAAATAGGGACTATAGCATAATATGATTACTGGTTACTGGATATTGCTTATATTAGGGCCGTTAAACCTAAGTTACCCTAAAACCCTGCATGACCCTAAACCCTACGTCCACCAGCACTCACACTAGCCTAAACCCGACTTTTCTGCAAAACTGATAAACCCCATTTTAACTGTCAACCTTACCACCTCAGTCACCACAAACTCCAAGCCCTAATTTACTGTGAAACCTGATCCCTGTCCCAAAGGGTCCAAAGTACCAAAATAGTAGAATGTAGGATTTCGGACATTAGGAGTTACTATTATGATCCATGGAAGTATCCCCAGTGACGGTACATAGAACCCTTTGGGTGTAAACCTACTTGGAGGATCACGGGACTTAGTATGTATGGTTGTAAGTACTTTAATTGGGGTATAAGTTAGTTACCTAAGTCCCATGATCCTTTAAGTAAACCCTAAGGACCCCGTATGGTACCCTTAGAGATCCCTTTAAAGGAGCCCTTTAAGGAACCCGTCAAGGAGTCTCTGCGAAGGCACGCACAAGCTCAGATCCAGGAGTCGAACTCTCGGAGCATTTCCTCCACTGCCGCCTCACTTTTCTGCTTCTCCTCCTCGCGCAGAGTTTAGGGTTTATGGGCGGCTTTCAGGATTTGGAGCATACGCCATAAACCCTCAGCCCCTAAACCCCATAAGCCCTAAACCCTGAACCCCTAAACCCTGAACCCCAAAACCCTAACTTCGGCCACAAAGCTCAGGTAAACGGCTCCGGCTATCCTTGCAGGAGGTTCACAATTTCCAGGAGCCCTCGTGGCCCTGGGGGTTTAGGGAAGGTTGATAGAGGGTGTGGGATTTAGGGTTAGTGCTTTGGAGTGTGGGGTTTGGGGTTAGTGTTTAGGGCTAGGGTTTAGGTAGGGTCATTAGAAGGCTGCTATGCGAATGGTACGCTAAGGAGCCCAAAGGGAGGGTGATAAAACATACTTAAAGGATCATGTGACGTAGTAACTAGAGCTATTATGAGGGTAACTATAGTAACTAGAGTTATTATGAGGGTAACTTTACTTAGATTGGGTAACTATACTTACCAATGCCTGTAACCCCAACAAAGGTACTTATAGCCATACATACTAATACTAAGTCCCATGATCCTCCAAGTGATAGTACGAACCCTACAGACACGATGCTGATCTGCGGCAGCAGCTCCATTTGCAGGGTTACGGATTTAAGGTTTGGGTTTAGGGTTTAGAGCAACTTGTAACTGATAACATCTCCAGCGCGGTAGGCGAAAAAACTGCCAATGCCCCAAACCCTGAAACACTCAACCCTGAATCCCAAACCCAACGAATCCCAAAGCCCTCAACCCCAAGGGCCCAAGCACCTAATAATCATATACTCTCCAAAATCCTAACCTACATAACTACTATCCTAAAACCGAACACCTAATTATTGGGCCCTCTGGAGCCTTGGAGAAAAACTGCAAAGCCCACTCCTACTGTAAGTCCCCGCCTAAACCCTAAACCCTTGTGGTACCTGAAAGATCCCTTAAACCCTTATAGACCCTTCTAGATCCCTTTCTGGAACGGAGTTCCAAGGGAACCTAACCCTAAGGCCTAAGGCTCTAAGGACTCATACATAAAGGCTTTTGGGCCCAAAGACCATACCACAGAAGGCTTTTGGGCCATTTTGATCCCCAGGGTAAAAGCCCTCATTAAGGCTCCATGTATCCTTACAGTATATACTTAGGCCTTAAAGTACCTATATAGGGAGCCCTTTAAGGCTTAAGTACCTACTATAAAGGTACATGGAGCCTTTGGGCAGCCCACCTCCTCCTGGGACATCGGAGGCGGCGCTGGCTGCTGCGGCTCTTGCGGTGCAGCCTTTTGCGCTGCCGGGGTCACCTTGCGCTTTGGGTCTTAGAGATAGGCCTTTAAAGGGATCTATAAGGGTTCCTTTAACTGGATCTATAGGAGTTCCTTTACTTAAAGGGATCTATAGCGTTTAGGGGTTTAGGGTATCGCATACCCATATAGGCTCCATAGTAGTTCCTGCTGGGGGGGGGGATTCATATTTGGAATCCTAAAGCGTAATCCCGAAAAGGAACTACTATGGAGCCTATGGTAGCTGTAGGGTCCCCACCATTTTGGGTTGCATACTTTTCTATATACAGATCCTAACACTTGAACTAGATACCTTAAACAAGGGGGTACAGCATGACCCTGTAGGAATAAGTATTTATATGTATGTAGTTACCCTAATAATGACCCTACCCTAATGCTCCTGGACCCTCGTAGTCGTAGTGAGATCCTAAACCGTAGCCCCCAAAGTCCAAACCCTCGCCCACAAAGCCCCTAGCGCTCTTAGGAGCCTTAGGGTAGGTACTATGTCCAGTGATCCTCCGAGTAGCTATGAGTACCTTGAACCTTCAGGGATCGGCCCTGGGGGCTTGGCCGGCTCAGGGTTAACGGGTGTTGAGGCGTTTCGGGTTCAGGGGCATATGTTGCCCTCAACCCTAAGCCGTGAGGTTAGGGGTTCACGCCGGCATAGGCGACTTCTTTTAAATCTGCTATTGTATGCCCTGAGTGATTAGGCTGTGGCTGCAGGGGCTCTCCTTGCTTGGGCAGCTGAAAAGCAGCCATTAAAGGCAGCCGCCGATAAGTGCAGATTTCCAGGGGTCCGGGCCGATGGCGCCACGGGTACCAAAACAAGCCAGAAAATCGTGGTTTAAGTGCACTGATTCGTAACCATGGTTGCTGTGGTGTTTTCCAATGCTTTTTAGTGGCCTAGAATGAACACAATGATTCGGGTATGGTGGCGATTTCCCAAAAGTTTCTGACAGCTGCAAGAAGTGTAAAGGGCTGCCATACAGGGCTGCCCGCTGTGCACAACGTTGGGTTTTGAGTGGAACTTGTGGCCGGGATTCCACGCTTTGTTCTTGTAGAAAATTGCCCTCATCCGGACGGCCGGGCCGACAACCAAAAAAGCAAATGGAATGATAGCTGTCGCTTCTCGTCGGTGCTTCTCCTCGAACGTCCGGTGTAGTGTCAAAGAACCAACGAAAAACCTTGGGAAAAAGCTGAAAAGCACTTGAAACGCACCTGAAAAACATTGAAACGCACCTGGCCTTTTTCAATGCTTTAAATCCCTAATAACAGTCATAAACTCCCTGAACTGAAATAAAGAAGCTGTTCTGTCTTAGGCCTGTGGCACAGCAAAATCGTTTAGAACTGCACCTTTCGCCTTGTACACACGCTACGGGGAAGCTGGGAACGTGAAAAATTCATTATTTAGCACGGGTCATATATTAGGAGCAGCTGCGAGTCGAACGACGATTGGATCCAAGCCAACACGTTCTGTGGCGAGACCGGTGCAGGCTGCCGGTGAAGGAGCTGCTCGTCGAGGTACCTGTTCCAGGGTAGCTTGAAGTTTAGTAGGGCCTGTTGAAACAAACAGTCGAGGTCAAAGTTGGCAGTTGAGGCTGAGCTTTCTTTTCCTCTCGTGAGGCCATGCTTGCGAGAGCCTAGTAAGAGTCGGCCTGCCTTCGGCCTGCCTGGCAGCAGCAGTCCCTCGAACTGCGGTCAGCTTCACTTCTTCTGGGTCAAGTCCAGGAAAGCAGTCAAGGAGAGTCTCTGCCGGGCAGGCACGAACGACCGCTCCAGGATCTTCATCATGGTCTGGTCGTGCGGCATCGCCTTTTCGCAGACACGAAGGGCCATATTGCGAATGGCGGCGGCTGTGGCCTCCTCCGTCTCCCGCACGAACGTCTTCGGAGGCATTCTCCAGAGCGACGCATCCCTGGGGCTGAAAATGTCGAAAAACGAGACGGCGGCCGCCCACACGTCTGCAGAGCACGTCAATCGCACCTGCTGGGGCAATATGATTCAGGGACGGCTGCATTTCAGCCTACAGTACATAGGGGTCGGGGTAAGCATGAAACGGGTGCAGGCTTAGGCTGTTGAAGTTTGAGGGTGCCTGAGCATTTTCTCCCTTTTTATAACTGTCCATGCCTTCCGGTCGTCCGCCATGAGGCACTCGGGGCACCGAAAGGCTTCCGTATAGGCACGGTTGCCGATCACGCAGCAAGCCTCTTGCACCATCTCCCGTGCCAAGCCGAAGTCCGCAATCGCCGCTCGCTTGTCTTCGAAAACGAGAATGTTACTCGGTTTCACATCGAGATGCAAAAACGAACGTCCGTGCACGTACGAGAGGCCGACGAGGAACTGCTGAAACAGCGGGACCAGCGATTTGCGGCGGGCCAGCCAGCCGTCTCGGCCCTCTTTCAGCCTGCACGCAGCGGCATGCAGGCTTTCGGTTGCCGGCTCGAGCAACAAGGCGGGCCGACCGAGCGAGCTGGTGAGAACGGCGAAGGCGCGAACGACGTTCGGGTGCTGCCCGACGGACGTGAGCACGTCGAACTCCTCAGCGACGTCGACTCCACCAACAGCTGCCTGTCGCATGGGGTCTGGCAACGAACGGCCTTTGCCGACTTTGAGAACGAGAGGCTGCCCGAGGAAGCTTGTGCGAAAGACCAAGCCATACGCCCCTGAACCGACCTCCTCCAAAGGCCCAAGCGGCGACCCGAGAGTCCACGTCCACATGTCCAGGAGGACGTCGTGCCTGTTTACTGGTCTTCTGTCATCGTCCTCGTGAGGCATCCGGTCGTCCTCGGGCTCTTCGTCGGGCGAGGCCGCACGCCGGTGCCCCTTTGTGAAAGCAGCGGCCTTCTTGCGATTGTCCTCGTAGGCCCGGTGAGCTTGGTCGAAAAACCTTTTGCGAACGTCCTTGCTCTTTTTGTGGTTCCTAAGTGCACGCAGGCGAAAAGGCTTGGGATTCCGCTTGGCTTCTTCCTAGCTGTCTCTCTACCCAATGTTTCTCCATAGAGTTCCAGGTTTGGGCGGGTCTGCAAAGCCTAGAGAGATAATTCCGGACCCAGAACTGCGAGATGGGAAGGTTGGAGGCCTCTAATTCTAAGCAGTGACCAAGACCAAGACGAGCCACCTGCAGAAGCCAAACCTTTCAGACCACTCTGCTTGGATGATTTGGGTATTAAGCGATTTCTGGCAATTGGTACGAGAAGCACGAATGGACTAACTTTCTAGTCATGCTAGTCTAATCAATAGAACTCATGGGTGCCGTCCCTATAGTTTAATTGAACAGGAGCCCGAAGGTTTGACTATATCTGCTGTTGCGAGTTGGCAAAACAGTGACTATGACTTCCTCGAAAAACAAACTTAAATTAAAACCGCAACCCAAACTGAGAAACACGCTAATCTCTTGATTCATGCATTAAAAGCAGCCCCAACCTTCGAACCTCCTGGCCGAGCGAGAGAAATAGAAACAACCCCCTGATTCGTCTGATTTCCCTCTAGTCTCGAAGCTGAGGCTATAGACAATCCTAAACCTGAACTTAGGACCTTAAACTCGTAAAGCTGCTGCCGGATTCAAGCGAAGGCACCACTTCTTGCTCATGGCTGCTTTCTCTCGAAGCATCCGCTTACCTCGGATGCGGTAACGAGAGGCCTGAGCGACCGTAAGGCCTTCTCGAGCGACCCAGCCGCAAAACAAGGACCAAGCACTCGCTTGCCTCACGCCTCCTGTGTCGGCCAAGGTAGGCCGGCCCATGGCAGCTACTTGCCAGCCTGTCAACTACACTACCAAGAAGCCGAAGCTGCAGCCGGACCTTCAGAACTTCTGTGCTTGCAAGGCTCCTAACGTTTGCAAGCTGCAAAAACTGGAACCTGGCAAGCGGTGCTGCAACAAGAAAGCTTTGCAGAAAAACGAGTCAAAGAATCGAGCCTGCAGCATCCAAGGGAGGATCGCGAGCTTCCTGCCCTGCATGTGGACCTTAGCGACACAGAGGGGACGGGGTGTGGAGTCTGGTGGGGAAGGGCAAAGCCACACTGCCGGCTCGACACTACTGCACTGCAGTTCTAAGAAGTGGAGCTAGAGTCTGTGAGTTTCGCAGGGCTCGGACTTTTTTTCTCCTTGCATGTGTCTCACGCAGCACCAAGGGACTTGAGTGACCCAGACCGACCTTAAAGAGTCGAGAAGCCAGGTCGCCACGCTTGGCCTTCTGCACCTCCGGCCGGCGACAAGAGACCCACGCCAAGCAGGAGAAGTGCCGAGGACGAGACACTCAGCCGAGCTTCTGCAGGACGGCCTGTGCCTCCTCAGAGATCTCCAGGCCCTCGAAGGTTTCTGCCCACTTCCACGCCTGACGAATGACCTCGCAGCCCGCCCGCTTGCTTCCCACCGCCGTCCACGAAATGCTCCGAGAGGCCTGGGCCCAACGAGCACTGTACGACAGCTTCCAGCGACCGTTTGGGTCGTCCCTGTAGGCCCGCACACGGAATGGCACGGAGACCTGCACGGCCCGATCGACGTTCTCATCGCAGTCCGCATAGCACCGCTTGACAGCGGCCGCCCTCTCCTTCGCCGCCTTGGCCTCCCGCTTTTCCTTCTCCTTTCGAGCGGCCTGTGCGGCTTTGAAGGCCGGCTGCCGAGCAAAAGTCTTGGCCACGTGTTCGAACGTCCTGATGCCACGCTTCCGAACGTCTACGGCCGACTGCTGAGTGGCTCGCCTTTTCGCCAGCTGTTGCAATGCTTGGTCTTGATCGGCCGCTAACATGGTGTCACGAATGACCTCCTCGAGGTCGACGCCAGCTCCCTCGCCCCATGTGGCGGCCTCTTGCCTGTGAAGCAGGCGGCCGACCACTTCTTCCTTGGTCAGGGACGCATCGAGCGACAGCATGCAGGCGATCGCGAGGCGGTCGTCTTCCTCGTGGCCGGGCTCGTCTGCCTCGATCTTCCAGCCTTTCTTTGCTGCCAGTCTTCGCAGAGCCCATTCAGGCACCCCGGCAAAGCCGCTCTGTTCCTGATGCACGAGCAACGGTCGCTTGGCCGCCACTTTGAAGGCGATGCCGTGTGGGTGACGTTCGCCCAAGGATCTCGCACCTCAGCCGCAGAAAACAGCGCCGAAATTACGCAAGTGCCACCAAAAAAACAATGAATTACACCCTCCACAACCTTTCTGATTGACACAGCTGCCTAGCAACCTATAGTATATTTATGCTCTACCCAAGCAAGTTGTAGGACGTCCCAACCCACAGGGCTGTCTCCTCGAAGCTCAGGAAATAAAAAACCTTCTAAATTCCCTTGCTTAAGCAAACATTTAAACACTATGTAGCTCTGTACTTTAAGCTAGGCTTTAGGGACCATAAAGCTTTGATCTTGCTGGGCTTCACGGGGCTGGGCATGTCGGGTTGGGCTATAGAGGGGCTGATTATCTCTATAGGGCCTACTCATTATGGGGGTTGGGTCAATTTCCATCCTTTCTTGAAGGCGGCTTGGGAAGCTTTGTGAAATTTGTGAGCATAAAAACCCTTGAAAGGAGCCAGAACACGCTGCGGCGACGTGGCCACCAGTTCGAGAACCTCCACGTTCTCGTCCCGCAGATGCAACCAGCAGAGCGACGATACATCGGTCTGCAAAACGAGCTTTTCGTGGCCGTCGCCGAAGGGCTCCAGTTTCGCTGGCCAGACTAACGCAGCCCTCCCGTAGGTTCGAACGACGTAACACGGGTCCACACTGGGAAAAAGCAGCCCGTGGCCTTCAGGGGCGAGCGACGCCCACCAGGCCGTTTCCACGAAGGACCAGTCAAGCTTCTCGCGAACGACCTTGCTCAAGAGCGAAAACGCCGCCAACTTGTCCTGCTCGCTCTCGGGGGTCGGCGACGACCACGTTCGACTCTTGCTCACGCCCTGCAGCAAGGCCTCCTCCACGGTCTCCTCGTCGATCACCTCCACGTCCAGAGGCACCGACGAACAGCTCGAGTCTCGCCGAACGGCCCTCTTCTTCCGCACGAACCAGTCGTCCGCCTCGAAGGACTGGGGAACGGTCACCAACGTCCCGCAAGCGACCTCTGGACGGCCGTAGGACTGGAGCAGCTTCTTTTTCGAGAGGCCGTGCCAGCCCTCGAGACGGCCGACGGTTTTCGAGGTGCCGTTTCGTTGCTCCGCTTCTCGCTGGACCTTGTTCCCGTCCTCGACGAGCTTGCTGTTGAGCAGACCGCCCCAGCTGTCGCTCAGCCAGGCGAACGTCTCGGGGGGCACCTCCACGAACGACGCAGCTCTGAGCTCCGAGAGACACTTGGCCATGACTGGCCCCGTGGCCGGGTGGCCTTCGAGCAGCTTCTTGGCCTCCAGAGACCCTTCGCCCGACACAGCCTGGACAGTCTTGTCCACTTGCTCAAGAAACCGCAAGCTAGCCTGCCGACAGGCCGTGGACTCGTGCAACAGACCGGCCGTCGAACCCCAGCCGTTGGTCGAGTTCAGCTGCGAGCCACAGCGAAACCGCAGTAGGCAGTGTGTCAGCTTCGTCACCCTGCGAGCGACTGTGTCCTGCCAAACCGCAGCGGCTTCTCGGTCGTCCTCTGAGCCTGCAGGATCGACCATGGAGAGGTCTAGGCCGAGCCTCTCCAACCCCGCCAGGTCCGAAAGCCGAACGACGTGCTGGCGGGCCGTGTCCATGTAAGACCAGTGAGCCCAGCTGCTGAAGTACAGCACGGTCGACTTCTTGCTTCGCAGCTCCTCCAGCATCTTCGAACAGCGAAGACCTTCGGGCTGCAGTACGTAGAAGACAGTCCTGGCGAGAGACCGGGTGTCTGCATTGCACGCAAACGTAGTCATGGAATGCAGTGTGTTTACCGAACGACCTCGCTGCTTCGCCAAAGCCTTCCGAGCGGCCGATTTCGCGGCCGCCCTCGTGGTCCCTGCCATCTCCCCCACGCCGGTGGCATCGGGCGACCAGAGCTCAGCGGCTGTCTTAACCCAACCTTCGGCCACGCACAGAGTGGCCAAGACCAGGCAAAAGGCCGACCAATCGCGGTCGAGTTCCGAGTGGGCGATCGTCAGACTGTTGAAGCGAGATTGCGACGCCTTGCTGCCCTTCGCTCGGACGAACGGCCGGTTCGGCAGCGACTCCAGAAACGCACGCCGGTGCTCTTCGGTGTTCTCGTCTTGCGAACGGCCCTCGTCTGCGAGAATCTCCGGAAAAAAAGCGAGCAGCAACGGATCCGAAGGCTGCATCGAACGGCCCATCTCGTCCGCCATCCCCTGCACCTTCCCGAACCACGTGCCCTTGTTCCACGGGCCATACCGAACGTTGTATAGCCCGATCGACATCAGGCCGAACGTCAGGAGCCCGCTCGCTGCGAGAGCCAAGTGACAGTCGTTATGCGAACGGTGGGCGGGGTCGTTCACGTGTTCCACGAACATCGAGCGACCGAACTTCAAGTAGTTCGCGGCCGCCAACTGGGTGGCCTCCTGATCCGTACAAAGGATCAGGATCTTCTGTCGAACGGCCTCTCCTTCCGCCGTAGCGGCTGCGAACGTCGACCAGCTCAAACCGACGCTCGAGAGGCTGTGCGACATGTCCCGCAGCCACTCTTGGGTGGCCTGCCGCTCTGGCTGCTTTACGCCGCCAACGACACTGTCTGGCGAACGGCCCTTGGTCCCGGCCTTCTGGAAGAACTTCGTGATGCGGCCGGCCCACATGGCCTCCCAAGTCTCAGAGGTGATGCTCGTTCCTTTCTTCACCTCTCAGGGAACAGGTGCTGTGATTTGCTAATAATCCGCTTACACTTTGTTGTCGCTTCGGGCTTTTGAACTTGGATTACTTGGCTTAAATGACGAGGATCTGAAAAAACCTAGTAACGATAGTTTAGTTGCTGCCCTGTCTCGACCTCAAACACCTTAGCAGACCCGTTAGGGTTCCCTTCTGCTCTAGAATCCTTATCTGTGTTCCAGATACTAAGTCTTGCAAATGATGCACCAAAGAAAACGACAAACACCTAAAGAAAGCTATCTGTATACCGGCAACTTTAAATAGACCCAGTATAGCCGCCTACTGAACCCCTGTTCGCCAAAAAAAAAAAACTGCCGATAGATAGATGCCTACAGACGTAGCTGCAAACATAGAGGTGTTGTTGCATCGGCTAAAATGAAACCTACAAACTCCCTAAAGAACTTTGGCAGCAGTCCAGAAGTGGTCCAAAAAGGTTGCCTCTTTGTATCAAAAAAATACAAAATTTTGGTCCAAAAATGGACCAAAAAAACAAAAAAAAACAGCAGCCTTTATCCGCATATTTTTTCGCCAAAAAAAAAGCAGCCTTTATACGCAGAAAAAAAAAGCAGCCTTTATACGCAGATTTCCGGATCCTGGGTCCCAGGCCAGTAGTATAGCTAGAAAGCAAAGCCCTGGCCCCGGATCACCGGCACGCTGGCCGGCGAGCGAAAAAGCAGCCTTTATTTGCAGATTTTTTCAGGCGCCTTTATCCGCAGATTTTCAAATGTGTGATTTTGGTCCAAGACACCGAAGGCGCCTTTATCCGCAGATTTTTTTACGCCAGAATTTGGTCCAATTTCGCCAAAATTTTCGCCTAAATTTTCTACCACAGATTCAACCCAGAAGCCTCCTTCCCGGCCTGCTGCGGCAGAACGAACGACAAGTCCTGGGCTGGGTCGCAGACAAGCACGTTCAACCAGTCTTCCTGCCCAACGTGAACGGCATCTGCGACGACGCTCAGAACGGCAGTCTCGGCGAATGTCCGCTTGCCGGAAGCCAAGTAGGACAAACGCTCGGCCTCGAGAAACTTCCCTGGCCTGTCCTTGTTCCTTCGAGAAACCTCGCCCGATTTGGAGGCGAAATGCCCCTGTGCCTGCAAAGCCGCACCGACCGAGTGTCCAAGGTCCGACTGCAGAACGGCCTCCTTGCAGCCGTGGGAGATCTTGCGGTAGCCCCTGGCAGTCCTGCGATATGTCTTTGGAGTGGCGGAAACAGCGAAAACACTTGGGAAAAAGCTGAAAAACACCTGAAACGCACCTGAAAAACACTGAAACGCACATGCAGACATGTAATGGCTCTTAGGATTATAATCGTGGAAGGTTTAGGGAGCTTTTTGCAATACTTCCGAACGCAGGTCCTGAGCTGGTCCAGCGACTCGACACGAACGTCCGTCCAGATTGGCTTCTCTCGGCTTCCATCAATCGCTGCTGCGAGCGACTTGAGCAACCGAGAAAAGATTTTTTCCGAGAGACGGCGGCGGTCCTTCGACAGACTTCTCCGTGCTGCATCCGCCTGCAAGCTCGCCAGGGCATTGACCACGGAGACGTCCTCCTTGCCGAAACCCTTCACTGCCTTTTTCCCAAACACCTCTGCCACGGAGGCCACGCTCAAGAGACCTTCGGAAATTCGCAATCCGTCGATGTCCACGTCCTGCCAAAACGTGTCCTGCAGACCGACAAGCCAGGCTCTGGCCCGAGCCTGGACTTCGACCTTGGGCAAAGTCCACCTTGCATCAGCTCTCGGGCCCTTTGCCATCATCTGCGACATCCAGCACAAACAAGCGAACGTCGACACACTAAAGTCGCTGACCGCGAGTGGCTCGTCTGGTTCGGCAACCCCCATGTCGACGTCCTCGGTCGCCTCGGCCTGCTCGGCATCCTCGGCCTCCTCCTTGACCTCCATTTTGTCGTCTGAGTCTGGTGCAACTTCGGGTTTCGTTCTATTCTTCTTTCGTTTGGCACCGGCGATACGCTTCATCATACTCGATTCACTTACATGCATCTCCGCACTAGGGACTTTCACGTCCGCCGCTTCCCGGTCGGCGGCCTCCTCCTGGTCGCCTTCGCTTGCCTCTTCCTTGACCTGCTCAGATGCCTCGTCGGAACTCAAGCCATCGCCCAGAACGGACATCGTGCGAGCGACCACTGTGTCTCGCAGCTTGCCAGCAAAATTCCCTATTTTGTTTCCTCCCAAAAAATCCACTATCCATCGAACGACCCAAAAGAAATACCCCGGATACGATAAGCCATCTTCGGCCTCGACCGGCTCACGAAACTGGTACACTTCGCCCTTGTACTGGCCCTTTGCACCACACGGCAACACGATCGCTCGAACGTCTCTCGCTCGAACGACCGTGTCCGCCATGCTTTCCGAGGCAACTCTCTTAAAAACGCCGTCTACTCAGTCAACTGCTTAGCCGCGGCCTTAATGAATTGTTGCCATCACAGTACCGCTCTGTCACCAAACTACCATTAAGTATGATATTTATCTACCATACTTACATTCATTATGCCTAGTCCTCCGCCCGTACCATCTGTTGCTGTTCTTGTGTCGGCACTACAAAACCAGACGGCTGCAAAAGCACAGGCTGTTACGGCACCGGGACCAGGAGGCAAGGGAGAGCGAAGCAGGAGCCGAGCACCGTGCATCCACACCGGGAGTCGGAAGCCAACCTGGCGGCGAGGACGGGGAGTCTGGTTTTGACTAAGCGAACGACAAACCGCAGGAAACCGCTAGGAAAACATTGGGAAAAAGCTGAAAAACACCTGAAACGCACCTGAAAAACACTGAAACGCACATACAGAACTCTAAAGGGTCTATGCTCCTAACCGGGAAGCCCTTAACGCAACAAAAGGCTAAAGTTTCCAAGCACTCCGAAAATATTGCAAAAACCTCGAGAAAAAGCTGAAAAACACCTGAAACGCACCTGAAAAACACTGAAATGCACCTTCCTCCCTCAAATGCTGTATATCTCTCTTTTTCTCAAAGTCCCCAGTTGTGCAGAAGGAATCTGGACCCCAATCAAAATCGCCGTTGTGCCTCGGACAACGACAACGAACTACCTCGTGAGACGTGCTGCCACAGCTCACTTGCTCTGGTCCTTCTTCTCAAGGCTCCACTTCGCACGGGGATCGATTTTGCGAGTGGCATCGAAGAGGGTGCGACATTGGAAAGACACGAGCGGCTTCGCCTTCGAATAGACCGTGGCCGACGGCACCAACTCATCGGATAGGACCCATATGTCGTCACCCTCGAGAGACGGCAAAGCGGCAACCTCATCTGCGAAATGGCAACAGAGCTCGCCGTCTGCCAAGGCATAGCACGGCTTGGTCTCCTTGCATTCGGCCGCCAACATCGAGGACCCGAGCAACCTGAACCGTTCCTTAGCCAGCTGCTCTAAGACTTCGAACGACCGACAGTTGGCCGGCAACGGAACGTCCTCGTCGATGAAGAACTGCACGCAGAAGAAGACATCGAGAATCTGCTCGGCCACGCCTTCCGCCGGGATCCCCACTCCGATCGACTCCAACATGCGAACCTTGGCATCCGATGGCAGCTCGCCCCACGTTTTCGCCTTTCCGGACCATCGGTCGGCCACGTGAACCTCTGGGCCGTCCTTCTCGGCCGGCACTCCTTTGAGAAGTGCCTGGAGAGCCCCATCACGGATTAAGTCCGCGAGGCCACGGATCCAGCCCGGATTATCGTCCAGGGCTTGGTCCACGAACGACCTGGCTCTCTCGTTGGACCCCTTGGAGTAGTTCTGGATCGACTTCGCGAAGACCTTTTCGTTCTTCTTTTTGATCTTCTCATCCTTGACCCTCCTCCGAGCGGCGACTTTCTCCTGCTGCTTGCGAACCACCGCCGCTTTCTTATCGGCCGCCGCTGACGATGCCCTGCCGCCCGTCTTAGCCATGATCGCGACGACCACGAACGACGAACAAGCGACCGAACGGCCGAGTGCGAAGAAAGCTGGGGGACGTGCTCACTCAGTACCCTTGATAACAAATTTTACGTGATTCGCTTCAGCAGTCGAGCTTTCAAATCGCAGACGCCAATCATTGAATCTCTGAAGCATTCACCCTCCTAGTGCAAATTGCCTCAATACGGAGCCACCCCGAAAGAAAAAAACACTGCAACTGCCATGCCCTCATGTGCAACACCCTGAACACTGCCGAACGACGTGGACGGCCTACTTTGAACTCTAGCTGTAGCCCTGAACCGATTTCCCATAATAACGAACGACGTGCAATTGCATTTCCTTTAGAAGGATTGGGTTTATTTAATCTCAATTATATGACCTAGAACTTATGTGTATGCTTGAAGAATTTATTTGCTTCTTGTTTTAAAGGGTAGCAACAAGTGTTTAAAGGTTTGGGTTTTGTTGCCACTCGCAAAACCGAAACTTTGTCACTATACCAAATTCTCAAACTACCGCAACTAAGGAAGTAAGAAAGCCCTGCGACCTGAGAGCAGAGAGAGGCCCTTCGGGATGCCAAAGCGAACGACCTCCTGCCAAGGATGGGGCTGGCCGGGATATTCCGTGTTTAGACGCTTGAGTTTCAAGCAAGGAGGGGGGGGGCGGTTAGGGTGGGTATGGTTGCTACAGCATACAACGGCTTCAGTGCCAGAGCACAACAAGAATAATGATCTAGTACATTAAGGAATAGAGAAGTCATTGCCTGGGTTTACATGGTTATTGCTTTGATTTAGAACTATAGGAGTGAAAATGTGTCCCTACTTCAGCATAATAAGATTTAGATTTCCTATTAAAGGCTTGGGTCCCGGGCTGTACGGTTTGGGCCACAACCTAGTGCAAAAAGCTGTGTCTCAGGGTTTCAAAGTTTGCACGTCGGGGCCTAGTTAGTTTAAGTTTATGCAACACATTGAGTGATGGGGGACTCAAATTGTTTTCAATATCTGAAAGAAAGGAACGGATAGTAAACGTAAATAAACCCCCTCCCCACGAAATCATCCCTTTAATCTGGACCCGAGCTTTCCAAGCACATCCGGAACGGTGCTCGACCCAAGCCATAACTAAAACCCGAACATAATTAATTACATCCATCGGTGCCCGCACGTGCCTGCTGGCTGACCTGGAACGACCACTGCCCGGCTGGATCACGAACGGCCACGACCTGCCACGAAAACGACTAAGAGAGAAGGCTCAAAGCAAACATGGATGCACACAACCACACGCAACCACGCACGGCCACTTTTTTTCCGTTTCGGCGGTTCGTGGCATCTGTTGCCGCGATCCACAAAATGATGCCCCGGTCTGCCTCCGAACAACTACGGCAGCCGGGTTCATAGCAGCATGGCCTGAGATACATGACTGAACTCTGCACGCCGACATGTAGCCCGATAAACATCTGCTTTTCAATGAAATCAACCGAACTCAGCCAAGGCACTGCAGGACGAACGACGACGAACGTCCTAGCGGCGATCGCGAGAGTCGTAGTAGCCGTACCGAGGACGGCTGAAGGCCTCAGTTCGAGTTAAACAATGACGTGGAATGCAACCAACAAACTATATCAAGCTCAGCATGCACTGCTTCAGTCGAGCCGCTGGCTCGTCGATGTACCGGGGTGCCGGGCGACCCGGGTGGCCAGGATCCGAGAGGCGCTCACGGTCGTCGAAGCGACGATCGTCGTACTCGAAACGGTCACGAGGGTCCCGATAGCGAGACCAGGCATCGTCACGATCGTCATAGCGATCGCGATAGCCAGAGCCACGACCAGGCGGATCTGCCAATGGCTGCTGACAGACTTAATACTGTGAAAGGCCAACTGCACTAAATGCAAACCAAGCCACAGTCACCACGGCGATCGTCCGGATGCCCACGACGACCACCCTCGGCCCGACGAGAGTCTTAATGGTCGTAGGTTGGCCGGGGTGCCATTGGCCGAGCGGCCGGGGCGGCCGACCCTGAACCTTATTGAACAATGCAGAGCAGCAGGATTCACGCCAACAACTGCTCAAGCAAAGCTTAATAACACCGAGCGGCCCCTTTCGATGTCGGGCCTGAGCCGGTCCATCTCCTTGCGAACGGCCGAGGTGATGGCCGCAGACGGGTTCCGGTAGGTCCGAACGTCCGCATCAGTCTCGCCTCATTCAATTGCAATTTGCAATGCAAAACAATCAAACAGCAACACACCATGCACGAAAGAACACAATCACGACCGGCCAAGTCTCGCTGAAAGATGGAAAAGAGCTCACGCACGAATCGTGCTCCGTCATCCGAATGTCCAGCGAGGTTCGCGACCGACTGAGCAAAGCGGGCTTGTCACGATTGTGCCACATAAGAAACTGATGCAAATCACGAGTTGAGTTGATCTGATCTACCTAACTAAATATAAAGCAGCCGAACGACCCGCATGCAGGCATTGTCCAGGTTCATGGAATCCAATTCCAGAAGCACCGATGGAGCGACCCGCCAGACCTCCCAGCGAACCTCGGAATGCATCAAAGTAAGTCTTAAGTATTAAGTTTGATTTATTTTATAATAGTCCTAGGAGTAACAGTTGATAACCGAGTGGCTGCATCGACAACCGGGTTCCCGAGAGACGGCATCAGGTGCTCGATGTCCTTCGGGTCGAACCGCCCCAGACCGTAATCGGCCTCCACGTGGACCTTCCCGGGCGGCCCATCGCCAGGGCCAGTGCCATCGCCGTCGGCCGACCCCGACGAACGACCACCGCCTCCGAACGGCCCTCGACGACTGAGCCGGCTCTCAGCGATCAGCCGCTTGAGGTCGTCGACGTCCTCATCGGGAAGGCGAGCGACCGCCCACCATTCGGTGTGCAAGTCCCCGAAAGTCGGCAACCAGATCGGCAAAGAGTAGACCGCCGACAAAGCCACGCCGAGCGACGCCGAGCGGTTCTTGCCGTGGGAGCCTCATCTAACTAAGTCTATGATCTATCAGAAACCTCAGACCTCGCACAAAACTGGTCACACTGAAGCACTGAAAAATACTCTAAAACAATCCAGCCACAGATGATCTGAAGCACCGAACGACCTTCGAGAGGCAGCAGGGCATCGAGCATCGCACACAGCATGAGGAACGCCGCGACGAACTCCGGCTGATCTCGAGCGGCCTTCCAGGCACCGTAAACGGCCAACGGACAGCCTCAGCACGCTAGTAGTGTGGAACATCGCACAAGCCACTGCAACACATGTTCTGACCGATTATTGTTCTACTTGCAAGACTGAGCTACCCGGTGGACTCGCAGCTCGGGTCTTCAAGTCGGAAGGCCAAACCCCACGAACGTCGACGGTGGCCTGAGTGGCCTCCAAGTCGTACCACCTCTTCTTCAAGAACCAAGGGCAAACCGAGTGACCCTTCTGGCCTTAGATTTCGCACATCACTGACGGGCAGCCTTGAACTTGACTGAATACCTGAACAACAAATCGCTTAAATTTTAGCAGGGCTACCGATCGTCCCGGACTTCTTCGTGGGCTTGTACATCTCTTCGGCCCCCCACGCTACCAAGAGAGGCCCGTCGTGCCACGGGCCTTCGTCCACGGGGTCGTCGAGCTTCTGGTAGTCCAGATCCTCGAGCTTCGTACGAGGGCCCTTGCGACCGCCGCCGGCAGCCATGAGTCGAAAACGAACGGCACACGTGTGCCGAAAGACCCCCCAAAAACCCGAACGGCCTAATGACCGAACGACCGAAAGACCCGAAAAACCACAACACCGAACTGTGCAAGTAAGCTGTGAAAGTGATCTGTGCATGACATGTTGTGAAGCTGCCTATCCGGACATGGCATGAATCATCAACACGCTTGGGCACTGGGAGCCTTTGTGGCGGAAGGAGGCAGAGGTTTAAGCTCATGCAAAAACAATGCCGTGAATAACATGTCAGGCACTCAAACATGTCTGTGCAAAGCTCTCCTGCATGCAAGCTTACCACTGCAAACTCGTGCCGGCCGCACCGTCCAGTCTCGAAGTGGATGATGTCGAACGACCAGGCAAACGAACGACCACGAACGACGAACGACCTGCCTTTACCACAAAAAATACATTGATCATTTTCAGCCTCAAACCAAACCTTGATGCAACCTGATTTCCTGTTTTAAACTGATCAAAAACAACCCCTCCCACAAGTATCATAAATACACTGCCCCCAACAGCAAAATACCTCACTAAATCATGAGCCCCGGACCCGAAACAATGGTCTAGCTATCCCAAAACCTTACGTGTTTAGGGGTCTGCTCTGGGGGGGGGCCAGGGGGGGACCAAAATCTGCACTTAGCGGCTGCTACTTTTAAAGGCTGCTATTAGGCCATCTGACTTGCACCAGTGGTTTCGAGATGTAAATATCCCTGAGCCCCTAAACCCTGCAAACTTTGGCCCCAGGTGAGGTAGTTATAACAACTTACAAAGTCCCATGATCCTCCAAGTACGTACTTGGCAGTTTTGTAGTTTAGGTGTTTATGGAGTTTTTGATCAAAACAAAGTACCTCCCAAAAGTTTCATGTACATATCTATAGGTTGGCCCGAAACTACCGAAACCGGAGCCCCTTCAAGGCCCAAGTGTATATTACGTGGTTCATCTGCATGCTCGATGGGGGAAGCCGTGCGGCAGGAACATATGACACCTCTAAACAGCCACACAGAACCGTGACTAGAAAACCCTCAATCCGCCCCCTAAGTCCCTAAATCCTAAACCCCTTATCCCCTATAACCCCTAAACCCCTAAAGCCCTCGGAACCTCCGCAGCCTGCGCTTCCGGCTTCGGCTCTTCCGCTTTCGGCTGGGCCGCTGTCTCGGTCTTCGGCGCCTCGGTCTTGGGTTCCTGCGATCTTTCAAAGGGGACAAGGAGGAACCCTTAATAAGGACCCCAAGGTATATACCCTTAATATAGGTATTACCTGCCACGGTCTAGGGTTTAGGGCTTAGCTATATTCTAGTACCCATTTAGATCCCTATCCTAAAACCGAGTAAGAAATTATTGGGTCCTTTGGACCCTTGGGGTAATATTGATACAGACACTAACTCAGGGTTTAGGGTTGAGGGTTTAGGGTTTACGGCTTAGGCTTTAGGGCTTAGGGTTTGTAGGGCTTAGGGTTTCTAGGGTTTAGGGTTTAGATATATTACAATACCCTTATAGATCCCTTTAAAGGAACGGTGCAAGTACCGAATAATCGCGGGTTTAGGGCTTAGGGTTTAGGAAAAAAGGCTGCCCCGTTTGAGGACTATAGTGATGAAAGGAACACCACTAAACTCTACGGCGTAAACGCCAAACGAAGCTTCTGTTGATACGAGCAGGCTAGACTAAACCCGCATGCCAGTAATAGTCTTTGCGTCGGAAAGTTGAAAGGGTTTCTTCAAGTCGAGGCTCGCTGTTCGGGGATCCCGATAACAAGCCTAAGGGTCCATGTACCTAAATTGCGTACACTTTGGCCCGAAAGTACCTATGTAGGGACCACTTTAAGGCCAAAGTATATACTATTTGGGTACATGGACCCTTAGGGAAGGAATCTACTACATTAAATCAACACCCTAAACCTTAACGCCGAAACCCCGAACAAGTAGGGGTCCGTCTTCGGGTGCCGGATACCCCTAAACCCTTAGGCCTAAGGCTAAACGGTCCTCGGCGATCAGATCCTCGACGATCTTGCCTGGTCGCGGGGTTTTGGTTTCGGGGCTTCGGAGTTCAGGTTTTATGGCAGGTGTGCAGGGTTTAGGGCTTAGGGTGTTGGGTCGGGGTTTCCATGTTCTTAGCTTGGTGCTTCTAGGGTTGAAGGGGTGTGGCATCCCGGGGTTCAGGTACTTGGAGGGGCGGGGGACTTAGTAAGTAGGTTATGAGTAGGGTTATAGTTATAATTGGGGTTACTCGATTTAGACTAACATTGTGTTAGCAATGATGCCGACTTCTGGATTCAGCACCCGGATTCGTATTAAAGAATCTCCAGTTCGTGCAACAAAGGATTCCAGAAAACAGTTTCTTTCTGCCCTAAGGGTGTCCTCGAAGAATCGCCGCATATCAGGGTTTAGGGTGAGTCCAGCGGTGGCACGATCGATGTCAAAAGGCCACGGCTTCCCAGTCTGGTTGACTGTGTTCAGCGGCCAACCCATAGTTGCGCACGAAGGCCATCAAGGGTCCACGTACCCAAACAATCATAGCACAGATACTCGTCCAAGTATGAACCTACATTACTACCTGCTTTGGACCCTTGAAACCGCTTGAAAGGCACCTATAATACCACAAGAACAATTAAATTGAACAGACTACATAAAGCGCTGATACAAGGAAACCGATCAGGTACTTTGCACCGTTACGGCTGGGGAGATCAAGGATTGAAACTGCAGGTTCAAGATTATGGCGTATAACAAAAGATCCTGCGGGTACGAATATTCAAAAAGTAATGGATTGAGGCCTCCAAACTATACTCTGAGCAGTTCAGAACCATGGCAGCTTGCACCCTACTGCCCATAACTGCCACAAACCCCGTATCCGAAAGCTCTCGAGCCAAAGCCGGTCCGCCACAATCCTTGTAGCCTTAACAGGAAGTCCTATGAACTCAAGCAGCCAAGTTAACATAAACGGCCAAATCCCTAAACTTCCTAAACTGCTTGTGGAACCCTAAACCCAAAACCCAGAAGCCTTAAACAAAATGAATGTCCTAAACCCTAAACGCGTTTGTGACGTACTGCAGCAGAGCTGCGGAAGCGAGCCCTGTCCTCCTCAGAAAGGGATTCGAAGCCCAGGATGTACCTGAGTAATCCGCAGGGTCGTAGGCATAAGATGATTCCTGATGCATAGCCCCCAGGGTCCAAAGGACCCAATAATTAGGTAATCGGTTTTAGGGTAGTAGTTATGTAGGTGAGCATCTTGGAGAGTATAAGATTATTAGGTACTCGGACCCTTGGGGTAGGTATTTAGGACCCTAAACCCTGAACCGTAGACCCTAAACCCTAGCCCTCAACCCTAAACCCTACACTCTAAGCCCTAAACCCTAAAGGACCCGTTGGGTAATGAAGGAGGCCTCAGCTAGCGCTGCCCAGAGTCCCGAACCCGTCAGGTATGCCTGCATTTTTAAGCACAGGGTACAACCCTTGTGATCAGAATCCTACAGAGCTTTATGAAACGCCTAAATCATTCATAAAGCCATGTGAAGCCGCAAAGAAACTGCGCTTCGGGATTCATTCACTTAAGGGATAATTATATCTGGACAGTTCTCTGAATTACTGTCTGTGTTTAGGTCCCCAAAACAAGTACGGCACGCTTGTTGTAATTTAGAGGTATCCATCTGTAGAGCTTTATATAGGAGCTTTTCGAGGGCTCTACAAACTAGGCTGGTCCCTCAAAAGCTTCCGCAAAGATGCTTGACCATAAGATCCTATGAAGCCCAATCAGGCAAATATGAGAGTATTCGGGCTTCTAGGGTCTATAGTCGAAGCCAGAAAGCTGGAAGTATAGTATCCTTATGCCCCTAAGGCAGCGTATAGGCAATCCCAGCATGAATCATCTTCATCCCATGCCAACGTTCTGGGGATCACTATAAACCCCAGAGTTCTAGTAGTAATGATACGGGAACCCTTAAAGGAGCCCTTAAAGGAGCCATTAAAGGAGCAATAAACCACAGGGTTTCACTAACCCTATAAGCCCTAAACCCGAAAACCCTAAACCAACAACCCCTAAAACCTTAACCCCAAACCACTAAACCCCTAAACTCCTAGACCCTAAATCCCTAAACCCAAAATGCCTAAATCCTAAACCCCCTAAACTCCCAAACCCTAATATCCCTAAACTCCTAGACCCCCAAAACCCCAAAAACACCCCAAAACCCCAGAGTTTCGGACCCCAGAGTTTCGCAGGCTTTGCCTTCCGAGTCGCTCGCCAGTCTCGGCGTCCTTCTCCGGCTTCCAGATTGCCTTGAAGCTGGGTTTTAGGGTTTATAGCGATTTCGGGACTATGGGGTTTAGGGGTTTAGGGTTTATAGCGGCTTCGGGTTTAGGGCTTCGGGTTTATAGCGATTTCGGGACTATGGGGTTTAGGGGTTTAGGGTTTATAGCGGCTTCGGGTTTAGGGCTTCGGGTTTATAGCGATTTCGGGACTATGGGGTTTAGGGGTTTAGGGTTTATAGCGGCTTCGGGTTTAGGGCTTCGGGTTTATAGCGATTTAGGGACTATGGGGTTTAGGGGTTTAGGGTTTATAGCGGCTTCGGGTTTAGGGCTTCGGGTTTATAGCGATTTCGGGACTATGGGGTTTAGGGGTTTAGGGTTTATAGCGGCTTCGGGTTTAGGGCTTCGGGTTTATAGCGATTTAGGGACTATGGGGTTTAGGGGTTTAGGGTTTATAGCGGCTTCGGGTTTAGGGCTTCGGGTTTATAGCGATTTCGGGACTATGGGGTTTAGGGGTTTAGGGTTTATAGCGGCTTCGGGTTTAGGGCTTCGGGTTTATAGCGATTTAGGGACTATGGGGTTTAGGGGTTTAGGGTTTATAGCGGCTTCGGGTTTAGGGCTTCGGGTTTATAGCGATTTCGGGACTATGGGGTTTAGGGGTTTAGGGTTTATAGCGGCTTCGGGTTTAGGGCTTCGGGTTTATAGCGATTTCGGGACTATGGGGTTTAGGGGTTTAGGGTTTATAGCGG